AAAAATACCAACAGTTTCATACCACAAAATGAAACAAATGATAAATTATGTCCTAAAATTTCCCCAAATCCCTCAGATCTGTCAAAGGACCCCGTGTAGCTTTCATGCAGCCTCAGAGGAATCGCAGCAGAAACGAATGGGAAGCTCAAACAGTAATTTGTTAGGCAGCAGAACTTTAGTTAGTTTGGTGTTGTACCTGTCCATAATCACGCCGTGCGGAATGATGACACAGTCTAAATCTCCGGAGTAGTGAGCCGGATAGCTGAAGAGGTCTAAACTGTAGCCAGGCCAGTCATCGTTTATCTGGGAGGAAAAGGATAAATATTATGTTGCAGTATACGCAGCACTGCTGAGTCTACAAGCAGTAAAACACCAAAACACGACCTTTATTACTGTGTCGCACCAAATCAGCCTGAGAGACATGTGGCCCTGAAGGAAATAAATCTACAAGGTGCGTAAATGTGCCCGAATGCGCAGCAGCAGCAGCAGCAGCAGCCTGTGCATCCATGAATCAGTAAACTTTTTTTCCGCCATGGAGCACTTGTCCTGCATTCCCTGTCGTGTGTTTTCCCCTTGAATTACCACAATCCCGCCGCTTTTTCCTTCGGCAACGTCTGCCATGTTGTTTTCCGCCGATACAAAAAAAAAAGGGGCTCCTGTCCGAGGAAAGTGGTAATACAAGCTTTCACTGGAATTTGGCACCGTGACGAGAGAGGAGGAGCATCGCGGTGGAGAAACAGAACAGTTTGCCCCCCCTCTGTGTTGTGTTATACGGCACTGCTGCCACCAGGGACAACATAACACCTCCTGTACGTGTTACTGCAGCCACACAGTCACAAGTTAGGGCCATAGAGTCTAACTTTTAGTTTGAATGCATGAAGAAGTAGAAAAGGATTGGCACTGCCATATGGTAAAAGTAAGTAGAAGAACCCATTATGTAGAATGGCTAGTTTCATAATAATGTATTTTATATTATTGGATTATAATTATTGATGTAATAATGTGTACATCACTTGAAGCTGCTAAAGATGGAGCTAATTTTACTTTTTTAAACTACTTTATGTCTGCTAGGTAGCTTGGGGAAGTATTATCTTGAAATGAAATATTACATCACAATTTATTTATCGCTTATATTTTATTATTAATCTGAATCTGCAAAGTAACTAGTAACTGAAGTTGTCAAATGAATGTAGCACAGTAAAACGTATTTGCATAGAAATATGAAGTAGCAGAAAATGTCAAGTAAAGTGCAAGTAAATACAGTACTTGAAGTGTCCAAAATAATAATACATATATATATATATACATATACATACAGCTGTGTAAAAGACACAACAACACATCATACATTTAGAAGCTGTTATGTTTTGGGTGTACAATCTTAATCTACAGCTGCTGAGAAATAAATATATTAAAGAAGTACAATTTACCTCTGAAACTAGTACTTCAAACAAAGACATCATTCAGCTATCACTGCTGAATGAAACAATGCACGATGCAAATGTGAGAATGATGAATCATGTTTATTTTTGTAAACTGCATGATGCCATGATGAACACAGACACACACAGAGGGAGGGAGAGAGAGAGAGGGAGGGAGAGATCAGCAGGAAAGGCAAGCAGCAGACTAAGTCATCACCCCAGGGACATTACAATTACATTGTAGAGTTATGCAAGTGAAAAAAAACAAAATGAGGGAAAAGAAGAATACCAGCAGAATAGTTTTAATTCAGGGCCAATAAAACATCACACAATTTCAAGTAGGCAATACTGTCTTTAATTTAAATATCCCCTTTATCATGTGGAAAATATGAAATGTGCTAACATCGCCACCTTGTGGAGAGGAACAGACACTTCTGGCCCCATTTGTACACCTCTTTTGTTCACATCAAATCAATTGTTTGTAATCTAATTTAATATTCTCACATTTGCCAGTCATACACCCTCTTGAACTGATCTTATCTGCCAAAGCAAGAGAAAAGAAAGACTTGACGGCCCTGTTATTTAACAGAATCGGATGCCACACCCATTGTCCTTTGCACAATATAATCTGTGTCTGCATGACAGTGTGTAAATGAGTGAATTTTTGAGGAGCCACCCATGTGGTCAGTCAGTCCAGCAGCAGCAGCAGCAGCAGGGTCTGGGCTGTTGTGTCACTGCACATTAGAGCAGTCTGCTGGGCTCTGTTGAGAGGGTGAGACAAGGTGTCTGGGCCACCCACCCATTCTCTTCCTCGGCAGCTGTAATTATAAACAGTGGTACAATGACAGCTGGGGAGGCAGATGTCAACAACAGCAACATTAGATTTCAATCAGCCTGCACAGTGTCAACACTCCTGAGGAATGAGGAGGTGTAAAAAAATAAATTTAAAAAAAAAACGAAAAAAGCTGCGTGACAAAATCCCTTTAAAAATGCCAGTAAACACTTATTATTCTCTGCGCAACTTATTTCACAAGATGTTTTTGTTTCAGATAATAACGCAGCAGGCTTTGGTGTTGTGATTGTGGATGAAGTCTTGTCAGATTGTTTTTGATGCCCTCTCTGTGTGGTGAGAGCAGGCCCGGCTCCTTCGCTGCCCTCCAGGCGCCGGGGAGCAGTCTGGCTTTGGCATTTCACACTCGCTCAGCAGTCAAGGCCTGTGACCGTCCGCAGACTCTACAGCCAACTGCTCCCTTGTACCCTCGGCCCTGTTGTTTGGCCAATTATGAATATTCAGCTGCTATGAAAGTAATTCTGTCAGACATGCAACTGTCCAGCCAGATAGTGTCAGCAGTGTTGCTGGTAGTATTTGAAGGGAGAATCGCAAAAGGATGTGACCATTCTTCTCCTTTACTAACAGAGTTTGGTATGTATGGAGGCATAAAACTGTAAGATGACCTAAATACAGTATATTGGATATTTCTTTCTTTCTTTGTCTACAAAGTTTGATACAGATTATTACTGTGATGGACCTCCATTGTTTTCAAAAGCTATCCACAATGTTCAAGAAAATGGGCTCTATAGTTTATTTTAAATCAATCCCACTTACAGTAATCCGCCCTGCTGCTGTAAATACTCACAGGAAGAGCATCAAATGTGTATTAGTCCACACATGAAAATAGTTCCTAACAAATACAGTATTTGGGCTTGTTTGAGTGATGTTTGCTAAAAAGATAATTGAGCTTTTAGGAAAAATGCAATATATATTAAATATTTTTTTATCTTCAGTGAGAACAAAGTAGTTTGGGAGTGAGTATTGTACGACAGACTTTTTTTGTTTTAGTCTTTACATGGTGTTTGTTGACAGTGCCATAAATATATATATACTTATTCTTTAAGTAAAATTAATAATTTACTGTATCACTATGGTCATGCATTGCTTTATAAATATTCAGAATTTAAAATAAATACATTTAAGTTGTTTTGAATAGATTTGTTGGCTAAAGTAGTCAGATGCGAATACGAAAGCTTCTCCAAAGGCAGTGATATCTGTCAAACTGCTACTCTGAAAACATGACAAACGTAACATAAACTTGATTTTGATTTAGCGTGTTTCAGTGTGTTGTCTGAGTACATGTACACTAACATGTTGGATAGGAGCCATAATGTAAGGCAGGGACACCCAGAGTCATAAAAGGGTTGATGTCTACTGGCAGTCACTAACCTTGGTTGACTGTCAGTTATCACAACAGTGACTGCGATCACCATCGAGCCACTGATGCCTTCGCGTGATGCTGAGTCTTTGCTCTCTCGTAAACTCCACAATAAAAGATGCCGATGTCGAATCTTGCTGTATTACATATTATTTTTTAATGTGTTGAAAACCCTTTCCAACATAGCAAGTCAAGCACAATGGTGCACATAAACACATGTTGAAAGTTCATGAGCTAATTCACAAGAGTAGGAAAGCAAAAAAAAAAAGTAATAGCCTACATTAAGCATACCATAAAAAAACATAACAAAATACAAAAAACAAATAGGCCACACAACATAAAAAGTGTCTATAAACAAGGTTAGACTGCTCAGAAAACACATTATTTGACATAATGACTTGTCCCTTCTTTAGTGCTTAATGGTTAACATTTACAATGCTCATAAATGTTTGATACTGAAAAAAAATCAGTTTGATAGTACTGAGACAAGCATGAATTCAAATGTCTACATTTGTTTTGGTGTCAATTCTAGGGTTACTAAAGCAGTACCAGCAGAATAATATACTGACTTCAATGATTTATATGTAAATAAACGCCCAGAAGAGGACAACAATTCATCAAAATGTGGAACGCAACATTATCTTTACATCAAAGTGCCCTCGTTAGAGCAGAGCAGCAGTTCAGGTACATCCAGATGCTTTTTTCATGGCGATGATCAGTGGCTCCATGCTAAAGCATCTCTGGACCTGTGCTGTAGATTCAGGAGCAAGGATCCACTGTGTGAGCGCGTAAAACTCTATTAACATAATGACTTCCCTGTTTAAGTGGATTGTGGTTCATGTATTGAAAAACAAACTCAGTTACAGACGTTCTTGACAAACTTTCTTTTCTGCAGAAAGTGATATTTCTTTCTTGTATTTCTCTCAACGAGACGGTATTGTTCACTCGATTGTAGCACCAGAGCTAAATGACAGAAGATGGCAATTTGAATGAGTAGAAAAAGACATAATGCTGTATATATTTGCTGAAAGAATATATTATAACTGACTTCATGATAGCACACCTTTTTTCTTGACAGTTTTGATTTGGTTACATCAGCATTTTGGTATCGTCGAAAACTTTTCTTCTGTAGTGGTGGTGGGAAACAATACAAATATCATAAAGGTTTCAAGTAAATTTAAAAAAAAAAAGTTTTCTCCTTGTCCAGCATAGATCAACAAAATTCCTGTTTTTCTCATTGCATCAGTGAATCCTGCAATTCTGTGACTGTCACTCTACCAATATGCTGCAGAACCAAAACCAACAGAGTGAAAAATAATTAGCTTTTAAGTTGATATATCCTCCATCTTAATGAATGATGTCAAGCTTGTCCGATTTGATGACAAGTATTTATTTATTGTTTTACAGATAACATACTTCACAGGGTTACCTTAGAGGTAAAATCTCCTGACAGAACTCTGTTTTGACTTGTCGAAGACAGAGGGGAAGATGATGAACATACTTTTATCAAGCACACATTGTAAACAACTGAGCAATATTTAAGTCTAAATGGCGTACCATAGAATAGGTGAGAGACAACAAAATGTAAGTAAGAAGATGTGCCTCTTGCTTGCAAAGACAAAAGTTTCATTTTTACAAAACAAATAATGGTCACTGACATATTTTTTCTACTTTTTTAAGTGGCTGAGAGGTAGAATGAAGTATTTTCAGTTAAAACCAATGATTTGATTTATTTACTTTATCATATCATTTTATCATTATGAGTGAAAACATTATGAGTGAATGAGTAACCCCAGCCCCCTCAATATAATGTGAAATCTGTACAAACGTCTCCATGGATTGCGATATTGTTTGGACTTTTATTGTGAAACTTTGTGTTTGTATCCCAAATGTCCAACGTTATAAGCAGAGGAAATATCTATTTTTTTTCTGGTTAGGATTTTCACAGTACCTCTCCAAACTGTGGGACAGAGATCTCCTTTGTTTAATACTGTGAATAGCAAGGTCAGTCCATGTGGTTTTGTAGATAAGGTGTGGAGATGGATATATTCAGTTGGAAGTATCCGAATGAACGCTCCCGGGTCCTTCTGTGGGCGATGTCACTGACGAAGGAGTCGGAGCATCTTGCCAGCCACCATTTGTCTGTGTAGATAAGACAGGAAATTGTTAGTATCATGGTAATACATTATACCATAGTATATAATATCGGTGTCTTTAGGTTAACAATATTAAAGATATTCATTAAAATAAATGTCTGGGAGATCACTATCTATCCCCGAATGAGGTAACACAGTGCTCATAGAACCTATAGCCCACTGATACAAGTATTGAAAGTCTTATATGTTTGTATTATTAAGAAACTGGGTCGGTGGTACTGTCTGTACTGCTAATACAAACATTTCTTACTGCTGCAGCTTCACAAAAATAGCATTTAACTGGCAAAACTCAAGCTGACTTTTATCATGAAATAGTCACAAGGAATTCAATGTGTTTGTCAATGAGATTAGCACTGACCACTATCGTTCATCAAAAATGCCTCTACAAAGCAAGACAACGGTCATTTTCGACATTTTTTGACAGCGGATCAGTTTGAAGTATTGCAGCGGGTAATGGAACAAGAAGGAGCAGCCACAGTGAGCTGTTAGATGAAGAGCTGCAGGCGACAGGCTGCAC